TGTAACTCGCCGTAGGGATTGCGGTTGCGGGGCTTGCTGCGTCGGCAAACTTCGCAAGAGTCGCAATACCAAGTGACATCGGTAATGAGGTCGGGTCATCGGAATTGTTGTCGAAGCCGTGCAATAGTGCGGTTGACTCCGAAATGGCCGGCGAGTCGTGAATCATGATACTCGCCGAGGAGGCGAGTCCGAAGACGACGGTCGCGTGGGACACATAGTAAGTCCTTGCCTCTCGAGTGGAGGAGCAAGTACCCGTCGGCAATGCGGTAATGGCTGGTCGGCGGGTGATCCGAAGATAGTTGTGCATAGAGCGTGCCGAAGTCCGAATCAGACTGATATGCTCGGATGAAGTGTCGTTGAAGCTCCTCGTCGAATGCGAAGGCATGATGTGTCATAGCGCAAAGATCTGGTCTTCGCAAGAGTGCATCTGCTGCGCGATTTGAGAGGCCGGGTAGATGTTTCAGTGTGAAGTCAAACTGGTCGATGAAGTACATCCATCGTCCGATCATGCTGCTCACCGTATCCTGCGTCTTGTAGTAGGTCAATGGATTGTTGTCTGTAACCCATGTGAACCTACGACGCCCAAGGAGGAAGCACCGCCATCGCTTGAGAGCCATGACGAACGCGAGTAGCTCCTTCCTTGCATCATCAAGCGAGTTGATGGGAGGCACTTTGTGGCTGAAATACTCCACGGGGTGCCAGTCGTCTCCGTCGTGCTGTGCCAAGACTGCCCCAATGCCATAGCCGGAAGCGTCCGTAGTCACTCTCGCCGGCAAGGTGGGGTCATAGATGCTGAGGATGGGTGCCATAAGCATGGTCGTCTTAAGTGCTTGGAATGACCGGCGTGCGTCGTCATCGAATACGAATGACACCTTTGGCGACTGTAACCTCGTCATAGGTGCAGCAATCCTGGAGTATCCGGTGATGAATCGCTGATAGTAGCCCGCCAATCCCATGAATGAACGAACGTCCGTGGTGTTGGTGGGCTCGGGCCATACTCGAAGGGCCTCGATCTTGTCCCCGAGTGGGCGGATGCCTTGCGGCGTCACATAATGGCCAACGTACTCCAGCTCCTGCCGCACGAATTCACACTTGTCGCCGTTGGCTTTGTACTTGGCCTGTCATAGCCGCTCCAAAACGGTGCGCAGGTGTTCCACATGCTCCTCCAAACTCCGGTTGTACACCAGGATGTCGTCAAGATAGATAAGCACGTATCGATCCAGCATGTGTCGGAACTCCGTTGTCATAGCCGCTTGGAAAGTGGCCGGGGCATTCGTAAGGCCGAATGGCATGACCAACAATTTGAAATGCCCATATCGCGTCTTAAACGCGGTCTTGTAGCGGTCCTCCTTGCAAATCTCGAGTTGGTGGTACCCTGACTTTAGATCCAGCTTGGAGAAGAACTGGGCGCCGCCCAATCGCTCGAGAAGGTCGTCGATGCGTGGGAGAGGGCCGGCGTTCCTGATCGTCTGCGCGTTGAGCTTGCGATAATCGATGCACAACCGCAGGTCCTTGTTCTTCTTCCGGACGAAGAGAATAGGCGCATCGTATGGCGATGAGCTAGGCCGAATCCAGCCTTTCTCTAGAAGGTCGTCGAGTTGCGCCCGAAGCACACTTAACTCTTCCTCGCTCATTCGGTAGATGCAACCGCGCGGAGGTACGGCCCCGTCCTCGAGGATGATCTCGTGGCGGATGGGTCAATCCGGTACTACTCCGTGCGGGCCTTCAAACACGTCGCTGTAGGCGTCGAGAAGTTTGGTGATGCGTGGATCCGAAGGTGAGTCCGTCGATGAAGCGTCATGGGGTGGGAGGGTGTGGAGAAAACACACCCCCATCTCCTCGATGTCGTCTCTGATGATGGAAGCTCGCATGCTTGCGGCGGATACTACGTGGCAGCTGATCGAAGGATGAGGAAGAGGCACCGTGCATGAAACTAATACTCCGTTCCGGTCACGAACGTGAACGGTGCGGTTGAAGAAGTTCATCGGGTGATCCTTGCTTCGCAGCCATGCCATGCCCAAGATCATGTCGAATTTGGTGTCCAAAATGTCAAAGGACACCGCCTCACTTGCGTGAGGGGCAAAGTACACTGGGACGGCGTCAATGCACCGGTCGATGGACTTGTGCGTATGACCGTCTGCCAGGGTGACTTGCGTAGGCTGGGACTTCCTCCGGACACGTGGGCCAAGGCCGGCGCGTACCATGAAGTCCTGGCTGATGTAGTTGCGAGATGCTC